TGTAATTAACAGATGTATATATAAGCATGTGGATGTTTAACAATTATGATCAGAACTTATTTAAAGATTTGCAGTTTTCTTCAATCTATATTTAATTAAAATCAAAATACATCATAAAGATGAGGTCATGAACTTTTCAAAGATTCACCGTTATCACAACCCTACAAAAATAAACAGATTTAGATAAAGCAATAATCTGGTGTAGTGGTGAGTGCTAAAAAATATGCAAATTTCTGACATTTACTTCGAGGTGTTCAATTAAATTTTGCTTTTAACAGTTAAAGTTTTTGAGGTGTAACTTTCTGCCAAAAAAGTATATCTAATTCTGAACACATATGCATATATTGTTATTTTCTGAGGATAAAGTATATCTAATTCTGAACACATATGCATATATTGTTATTTTCTGAGGATAAAGAATATCTAATTCTGAATATAATTCTGAATACATATATGCATGTTTTGTAATTTTCTGAAACTAGAGGCTCTAAAGAGCCTGTGTTGCTCACCTTGGTCCTATAAGAAGTCGTCTGACAGTTTGACGTATTTGGACAATTGGTAGAGCTCAACATTCTGAACATTTCTGGCCCTGTCAGATTTTTTTTTCTCTGTTTATAACAATTTTAAAATAATAGACAAAACTTGCATCTTGATTGGCAGACGGGGTCATCGGACACATTTTTTAAACTAGATACCCCAATGATGACTGTGGCCAAGTTTGGTTAAATTTGGCCCAGTAGTTTCAGCAGAGAATTGTTATTTTCTGAAGATAAAAGTATATCTTATTCTGAGCACATGTGCATGTATTGTTATTTTCTGAAGATAAAGTATATATTATTCTGAACACATATGCATATATTGTAATTTTCTGAAGATAAAGTATATCTAATTCTGAACACATATGCATATATTATTTTCTGAAGATAAAGTATATTTAATTCTGAACACATGTGCATATATTGTAACTTCCTGAAGAAAAGGAATATTTAAATCTGGACACATATGCATATTGTTATTTTCTGAAGATAAAGTATATCTAATTCTGAACACATGTGCATATATCGTAACTTTCTGAAGAAAAAGAATATCTAAATCTGAACACATATGCATATTGTTATTTTCTGAAGAAAAGAATATCTAAATCTGAACACATATGCACATATCATTTGTTACACAACCTCTACTTATTTTACTTGGCTAGAGAATATAAAACCAATAAATAAACATATAAATAATTAACATAAATAGCAAAATTTTAATACCTTATTGGGTGAAATAAAATACACAACGGCAAAACTTGATAAAACTTTACCTGAAAAGGAAGGATTTATAATTTGAAAATTATAATAAGCAAGTTTTTTGCTATTTTCATAAATTTTTCTTTGATCTCTCTGTATGATAATTTTCTGTCTTAAGCTACTAGAGGGAGAAGATTTCTTCTCGGTCAAGTAGAGAGAGAATGCTATGACATCTTAAGCCAACGTCATTGAAGTTGCTTAAAAAAATAGCAATAAACAGATTATCTGTCGTCCTTCAAACTCAAGGAAGCCATTTTGTTTTAATGACAAATGTACCTGTAGTAGCTGATATCCCTTTAAAGTATACAAGTTATAAAGATTCAAATTCAAAAAGAAAGAATTGGGACTCCTTTTCTTTTTAGATAAAGGAAAAAGTTTTATGAAATGCCAAATTTCATCACCTTAGGGTGAATATGCATGGTAAAGACACATTATAGTCTATAATATTTGATTTACATAAAGTACACATTGCATATTAAGTACACATACATACATATAAATTGAGTGCTGGGACTTAATACATGTGTAATACCTGGCACAGCATGAAAAACATGAAAGGATGATTATTTAATTCTATCAGAAAAGCATTTACAGAAATATTTCAACAAATGAGATTTTAAAGGCCACATCTAATGTAGCCACTATATATGAGATCGGTATCAGCATAACACACTGTTTCTTTCAGAGATATATATTAACAAATGAACTAAATAAATGAAAGACTTGATAAAAATTAAATTAATCTATAAAAATAAACATCAATTTCTAAAACTGTGAGCAGAGAGAGGGGGTGAGCTACATTTATGGTTAACCATGACTTTTTACCTGTTCCAGTCTAAACAAGTTTGGGGGCCTGCAGGCCCCCTTTTTCAAAATCCTGGATCCGCATCTGGTGAGAACATGGTAATTTTAAAATGTTAAATTGGTAAACATATAGGAATGTACAACTTAAGAGGCCCAAATGAGCCAAACAAAAATAATAGAACAAAGAAGGAAAGAAAACACTACACTTACACTTAAAAAAAGGAAACAACAGAAACAACACATTGAAAAATCAAATTTTTCTAACATTCTAACATTTTAAAGGAGGTATGATATGAGTCATGATTTGGCTCCTGAAATAGTAAAATTGTTCAAGCCTTTTACAATAATATTAGTTTTTTTGCAATTTAAAACACTGATTCTATGTTAAATTCTTGATCTCCAGATATCATAAAAAATGTAAAATTATAGCTAAGCTAAATACTATACTGTTTTACGATAAGTCATTGAAAGCTTTTTACCAGGAATGTTAAGTTTTAATTTTAGCATTTTTCATAAATAAGAGACAACAACTGTTTGTTTATTCAACTTAAACAGTTATTTTCTCTCATTGAAGTGGATCACAATCATTAGTTGCATCAGAAATGTTGTTCATTGTAATATTTGGTTCTTTTCTAAGTCTTTATAAGGATTTTTTTATGCATTGAAACTCCTACTCAAACAAGACCAATCGCTGCATGCAATTGATTGAGGTAATATTGATCATTCCCTTCTGAAGAAGCCCAGAAAAGTTTGATTAAAATTTTCCTCATAGAATGAATGTTGTAAAATTTCAAACTATGGGTGGCAAACAGGAGGAGGCAGCAAGGCAGATGTAAAAATTGCTTACACGGTATAACTCAACATTATCAAGCTGCAGATTAAATAGAAATTATTTCCCTTCCATAGATGCCAAGAAAAGTTTGACGAAATCTTTTTGGTACAATGAGTGTTCGAAATTTTAAACTATTGGCAAAAAAGGGAGTGGGTGCAAGGCAGATGTAAAAATTGCTTACACAATACAATTCAAGATTATCAAGTTACCAAGACCAAATAGAAAATCATTATCTTCCATAGAAGCCATGGAAAAAATTCAGGAAAAATTCCAAGCAAAACTGGTTAAAACTAGAGATGCTGATGGATAATTTAAGATGTTAAAAAGTATTTTTTCAAGATATTCTATTTGCAGATTTTTTCTGATCAAAATGCCAAAAGAAACTGGTAAATTATCTACATTTTGTTTCAATCAACTGTACAACTGGAAATGAAGTTATAAATATCTGTCTATTAATGCTTAATCATATTCAAATAATGATGGCCATGATTTCTAAAAGACAGGATCACCAGATGTAATTTTGATTTGCAAGGATGATTAAGATAAGGTAGATGCAAATTGATCTGGTTTTCTAAGATGCTAATTACTCACAAATAGACAATTCAGTAAGACACTACAAACTGAAAGGATGAATACATACCGGCAAACATAATATATCAATGCACAAATATGATAATCACTTAACAAAATATATAAAAAAAATATTGTAAATTAACTGATTGTCTATTTACTGGTTTCTTATTTGGTACAGAATAACTCAATAAAAATATGAAGATATGACATGGAGTATCTAATTTTACTTTTTGATGATCTACAAAAAATGATATTGTAGCAATAACTAATCACAGCAGTCAAAATAAAAAGTGAATCTACAGAAAGGGCAAACTATCTACAACTAATCTGATAAAAAAAATTATATTGAACTGGATTTAAATAATTGTCCTACTTGCACCTACTAATACTGGCAAATTATAAAAAACAAAATGTAAACAATAATTTGATTGAACAAAAAAAAACCTATCACAGCTTTGTAATTCCTTAGATCTATTTCAGAAAAAAGTCCTTTGCGTCTTTGAAGGTACTCAAAGGTACTATTATTCCAATTTCTATTCATGTTACAGAATTCAGGAAATTCTAAATGAATAAATTGTAAAAACTAATGAATGGTGAGTCTCAGAAAAAAAGCACCTTCAAATACTGTCTAAAGACATTTTCTGAAACAGACCTTAATGGTATAGAACGATTATGGTGATAACTTGGCCATTAAACATGCATTTATAAATCTTTTGTATTTGTAAATGAAATTCTTCTGCAAATATCTGTATTTGTATAGACTTATTTAAAAAAAAATTACAATGTCTGAATATGAAAAAATAAATTCAGTAATTGAAAGTTGTACTGATTAGTTTATAAAGTAATATACAAATCATGAAATAATAACATGGCAATATAAATTAAGTATACTTTTGAAATTTTGTTCTACATGTGTGTCACAGAGACATGCACCTTACATACTTTTCTTATGCATAGATACAGTGTTTAGTTTTGCCCAAAGACAAACAACATTAAAACAGAGATAGATCCCTATCTATCAAATTTATAAATCGTTCCTCACCGCCATATAATTTTTGTTTAGCAAACATTAATCAATCATTAATCAATGATATTGCATTATAATCTATGAGAAGATTTCACTTTACACAAACCTTACAATATTACGGAGCAGTAGGGTCATTTTTTCATATTGCATCATGATTTGGTGTTTTAAATAAATCAGTTACAAATCATAAACTTATCTACATAACAACTGCTTCAAGGTCACCGGTACTAGTAAATGGTACAAAAAATGATTCACTGTGTGTATACAATAATGATATGTTTTTAAACATAAAAATAAGATGTGGTATGATTGCAAATGAGACAACTCTCCACATGAGACCAAATGATGTACAAGTTATTAACTATAAGTCACTATACCACCTTCAACAATGAGCAAAACCCATACCGCATAGTGAGCTATAAAAGGTACCAAAGGACAAATGTAAAACAATTCAAAGGAGAAAATATGTACAAAACAATAAACGATTAAAGTATACTAGCAAATGGTACACAGTAAAGTACATGCAACTTCTAAACTTTAATCAGCTATACTTAAGAATAGTGTTTGCCTGAAGAAAATATTATTAATCATATCACCACAACCTAATTTTGGTTGCCAATTCTTCTACAAGTACTTGAACAATTTGAGATAAATGTTAATTAACATTATACATTAAATACTTTTACTTCAACATTCTGATCTCATCTAAAAAGTCATTCAATTTTTGAAACCTTAAAATTAGTTGCCTTTAAGTGTGTTTACTACTAATAATTTACAATTTGAATTTGAATTTTAAAAGTTAGGGTTATATTTTGCTCTTTTCTTCTTACAGAAGTTTGATTATGTCCTCATTTTGGTTAAAATTCTAGACACATCTTCTAATTTTCCAATTATCTCAACCATAAGCATTTACTGTCTAATTTGTGAATAAGTAAAAATTAAAGAAAAATGTCATTTCTGTTGTGCTTTGCTTGACCAGAATATTTTTAAACTAATGCTGTATCTGGAAATAAATAATTCAATAAATAATAGATAAGTTAATAAATAATAAAATAAATATATAAATAAAAACATGAGCATTAAATAAAAATGTGTTCATTGATTGTGAATTACGGATGGCACAACACTAAGCTATAAATATGGCACATTATTCAAAATATAGGAAAACAAAAATATATATATAGTCTGAAATGTGACAAAAATTAGCTCTTTATATATCTGTTAAATGGAATGTGGACATTAAGGCACAATGTTTAACTTAACATATGACAAGCTATTCAACACAAAAAAAAACATGACAAGCTTTTCATCATAAAAAAATTGAACAAGCTATTCAACACAAAAAAACATGACAAGCTATTCAACGTAAAAAAATATGACAAGCTATTCAACACAAAAAAATATGACTAGCTATTCAACATAAAAATGAAGAAAAGCTATTCAACACAAGAAAATATGAAAAGCTATTCAACACAAAAAAACTAATAAACACATCTTATGAAAAAGCAAGATTTAGCTTTTTAAGTAACTTTAAGATAAAGGTGTTGACATTAACGGCACATTGTTTTACTTAAAATATGGCACATATTTCAATACTCAAAACAACACCAAAAAGACGTCTTTCGTACCTTTATATTGTTAAAACCAGAGAGTTTACTAACTATAACATGTACAACCTATTACAAATTTCTTTCTTTTTCTATTATCAGAACCTTTAGAAAAATCATGACTTCACAAACTAACTGTGGATAAATCTATAGACAGGTGTTTAATTTATGTTTTTCAAAACACAAAATAGTGCTAATAACATCTTTTGTACTTGAAAATATAATTCAGACCACAGACTTCAGTAACTAACATATTCAACCTATAAAACGTCATAATTGAAAAGAGATTGTTGATTATAGATTAAGAAATTTCTAAATCTAGACTGTAGAAAAATTATGTTATAATGGTTTTATTTTAACACTAATCGATTATTGTTGTAAAGTGGGGTGTACTTATAGTGAAGGGTTAAACAGGATCTTAAAATTACAACAGATTGAAAAAATATTATTGGTATTGAATAAATACAACATCACATGCATTTTTTTGAGTTGAAAAATGTATTTTCATCTATTTAGAAGATAATTTTTATACTCAGGTAAATTAATCAATGAGAGATTATTGTATTTATTCAATGGGACAATAGAACTGACAAAAGTTTAAATAGTTTGACCAATAGATGACTCTGTGGAAAAGTTTCATTTGGTTCGCAATAAGTGCATAAAAAATGATTCCCCATCATATCTTACTAGCAAGTTTTATTATGTTTCAGAAAGAAATCCATACCCCTTGAGAAATGCTGTTGAAGGAAACCTCATACTCCCTAAACCAAAAATCGAATTGTTCAAGAAATCATTTATGTATTCCGGACCATACTTGTGAAACAATTTGCCTCTATCTTTACGAAATTTTACAAATGTTAATTCTTTCAATACAAAATAACAGATCATTTATTGAAATCAACCAATTGAAAAAATGTTAAATATTAATTATTTCATCATGTTTATTTTTTCATAAAATTTTGTATGCCATGTATATGTTTGCATTTTGTTTTTGAATGATTTTTTGGGGTTTTGTTTATGCGTTTCTATAATGAGGGCCTCAGGGAAGATTAGTTATATAGCTAACTGTGGAACCCTCATAAAATAAAAGTATTGTTGTTGTTATTATTATAAATTTCTTATATATTTTTCTATATCCAAATCCTTCAGAAAAGATCTGCTTTCACATATTAACCTTGAATCACTTTTAATTTGACCTATAGACAGGTGTTTAATTTAGTTTGACCTATAGACAGGTGTTTAATTTAGTTTGATCTATAGACATATGTTGAATAAAGTGTGAATATAGACAGGTGTTTTATGTTGTTTGACCTAAGAAGACAGGTGTTCAACTTTGTTTGACCTATAGACACGTGTTAGATTTAGTTTGCCTTATTGAGAGGTGTTCAATTTAAATTTGAAATATTTTGTGTGTTCTAATAAGTCTATTTACAATTCTTAATTAATTCAAGTAAAAAATATTTACTTTTACAACCGTTTAAACATATTTCAGAAGTTTGCACAAGAACATACATAAAATATATATAGTACAATTCATTTCTGCTGCCAAAATGTTATTTGTTTAGTAAACTTTAATAAAGATAATGTCCTTAGTAGCATGTTTGTCATGGAAACTGACGAGCATCAAAGATACAACCCTTCTCTTCATAGTCCTCTATCAATTTCTTCCATACTTCATCACAAATCAGTAAGTTCTTGTTCCCTGTTAAAATTGTTATTATGATTGAATTATATCACAAATACATTCAGTATACATTTGGCATATTATTTATATTTTGCTTGATGGCAGCTGAAAACTTTATGGCCTTATGCTTACAAAAAAATGAGATGTTTCACGATTTATTCAAAAGATTAGTAAAGGGGAGATTACACTTTAATATTTGACGTTTCTAATTTCTAATTTTTCATTTCCTGACAATTGGCCTTTTTCATTATTATAAATTATGTTTTTAAGGGTTGAGATTGCACTAAAAGAATCACATATTATCAATCACAATTTGTAGTTATAATTTTATGGTATAATAACTTTCATCCATATGTAAAAAATTACCTGTATTATGCAGGGCTTCCAAAATTATTTTTAGCCAGCCTGACATTTAATATATTATCCCGATTTTAATCCCTTAAGACTAAATAAACAAAAGGCAATTATGGTAATCAGTTGCCGAGTTGGCCATCCCAATGATTGACATTAAAAAAAAAAACAATATTAAACTTTCTTTGATTAAAATTCGAAGTACTGACGTAAACTGTTAAATTGGCAGTGCATCATTCGAAGTGTGCAACATCAGCGTACTTATATCTGCCTTAGACTCTTTATTTGTGCAAAATAACGTTGTCACAATCGTAACTACTCGGCCATTCTTGCTATGCATTTCTTCGTGCAACCAGAAAGGCCGAGTAGTTCCGATTGAACGTTGTCAAAAACTTTACTTTCGTTTTTAAATATAATACCGGTTGTTATCTTGACAATGGTAAAACATGGACCAGAGATAGATAAGTAAATTCTGTGTACGTTTGCAAAGCATGAATGAGTGTAAGTAGCTCTTTCTACGTTAATTCTTCAAAAAAATTGTTCGAAATAAACGTGAGATAAAGGTATCAATGACAATTTAAGCATTTTTTGAAGAAATGAGGATGCATATTTAAATTTCACACCTGCGCACACGTGTACTAGTTCAAACAACGTGGTTATGACGATTTTTCATTTTCACCTTTTAAATTTTTTCATCAAATCATATTTGGAAAAGAATTTCTGATAATTTAAATCTTTTTGACTGAATTAATTAGATGCAAACCGATGAAATGTAAAATAATAACTTTGAATAGACCGATCAATGTCCGGTTCAAAATAGTTTACCTGTCACCTAAACAGGTACATTTCAGCTGTTCGACAACTAATTAGCCTTGATTAAAATGAGAAGGTATTAAAGTAGGGGTTGTTTTGATAGTACTTAATGATCATGTCACTTTTATGACCGGAAATGTGTGGCTGTTAAAGGCAAAAGGTTGGGTTAAAAAGATCGCAAATTATGTTAAATTGACCGTCTCTTAAGAAAGCCTTGAAAACTAAAAAGTAGATGACCGTTTCATGCTTTGGCTAGCCGGACTTTTATCGGACATTATACAAATGTCCGGAATATATGACCGTTTTGGAAGCCTTGGTATTATGTGATTTCTATACACAACAAAATCATCAAAAAGCAGCATTTTTTTTACCGGAAATTGAACAGATTATAAGCTTGATTTTAATAATTTAAGTTGCTCTTTCTTGACTGAGTACCAAAATGTCCTACCAAAAAGTAGGTAACATGTCGAAAAATTATATAAACCAGATTCAAAAGTCGGTAATATGAACAAAGTATATTGTTTGAATTTGTTTCCTCTTTTTTTCTAATGTATACTAAATGTAAACCTATAGAGAGGTGAATTACCTATAATTACGAGTCCCTTCTTAGCTCTTGTTAGAGCTACATTAATCTGATGTCTGTCTGTAATAAATCCAAGGTTCTGTATACACCATCCCTCTGTAGGATTCTTCTCTATCAAGTACTTAGGTAATGATCTAACCAGACTAAAGATCACATAGTCCCATTCACCACCTGTACAATGTACAAAGTAAGGCTTAAAAAACAATAACACCCATAGCCTCATATTCAAAGAAGATAATTCAAAGTGGAACTAAATCCATTCTACTCTACTCAGATCTATCAATATCTCTCAAAAACACATCTTCATAGGATTTACAAAGATGTATAGCCAATTGGAAGCCAATTGGAAGGCATGATTGTAAAGTTTAATTACTCTGATCTATTTAAAATTGGCATACCAAATTTATTTACTGTATGCAATTGTTCATAAGATACTTTATCTTAGTACTTTGTTTCAAGGAAATCCATTAAATCATTTATGGTGAATCATGTCAAAAGGTCTACAGTGAGCTTCTTATTAGAAGAGTATCAAAATCTAGTTTACTAACCTTAAAAAAAGCTATTGTTATGCATATATGGTATCAACAATTAACAAAAGTAGCATTAGGTATCAACCAAAAAGTGTTATATTGCTGTAGGTGTTTATTTCATTATCAATTGTCCCACAGCTTCTTTCAAGATAAAAACCAGCTGTTATGTATAAAAGATCATTTTGAGACAAAGAGAATGAAATAAGCAATACCTTGACTGGAGACAACTGTTGTGACATTGAACTTGTCAAAGCCTTTTTTTGTTATTTCTTCTCTGAGTGCTGTACATTGGGCATTGTACTGAGACATAACATTAATAGTTTCTGGATCCACACCTTCAGCTGTGACCATGTGTCGAAATACTTTTAACTAAATTAGAAATAATAAAATAAAGGTGATCAATGAATTTGAAACAGAAAGTCGAAGTGGTATCACATTTTTAGAACCTAAATTCAAGGGTTGAAAGCTTTTTGATATCTTATCTGGGATATAAAAGTACAGTACTGTAAATTTCAGAAATAATTGTGAGGTTTTAATTGTGAAAAATGTGACTGGTTAAGTATCACAAAAAAAAAAGACTCCCATTCTGATATCTAATACATATATCAGTATTGACCTTTTCCTGAAATCGCAAAAATTAACCTTCAATTTTGGATTGTCATGTGAAATTCGCAATAATAAATGCTCACAATAATTTCTGTATTTACAATATGCTGAAATTCATATATAGTTATTATATTGACCCTTTTAAGGTAGGTATAAATTCTGTTAAATGCACTATAAACTCATGCTGAGGGAGATAACTCCCATAATAGCCTTTAAAATGATTTGTAAAATGCATGCCAATTTTCTACCCTGGAACAGCAGTTAATCATCTTATATTCGTACTAATCAACGTAACTTAACTTGCGAAGCGTTCATACACATTTCTGTTGTAGCTCATTGAGTCAGTGGCATATCCCTGGGGCTTTGGGAGGTGCAGCTGGGAAATGGCAAAATAATAATGGTGAGTAGAATTGCGAACCATTAATAAAATCTTGTTAATGAATAAGTTTCTTTCAGCAAACAAAATACATCAAAATTAGAGGCAATACTTTACAATGAATATTTTAACCTTAAAACTGTATACATGACATGATTTTAACAAGAGGCTCATGAGAGCCTGATATCGGTCACCTGGCTGTAATTTCAGTTTCAGGCATTTGACTTATTTGTAGATCTTACTTTGCTGAACAATTTTGTCATTTACACTTTCTCTCTTTCTATAAGTATATTAAAGATAACACATAACCCAAAACTGTGAAATTTCCTAAAAATTAACTATTTCTGGACAGTAACCCAAAAATAAGTTGTCCTATTGGTCTGAAGATTACTTGACAGGTAGATCTAAACCTGTATAACACTTTCACCTATGTCAGTTTTGCTCTTACTGCTTTAGTTTTTGAGATGAAAGCCAAAAACTTCATTTGACCCCTATGTTCTATCTTTAGAAACTGCCATGTTTTTGAATGGATCAAATTCCCTAATACAATCTATAAACTAGATACCCTAAGGAACATTCAATTAAAGTTTTTAAGTATTTGGCAAAGTAGTTTTAGAGAAGAAGATTTTTGAAAAAGTAATTGGACTTTCACAAAAAATGTAAAAAAAAAAAAAAAATGTTTTAAGGGCAATAACTTCTCAAGGGGTCAATTGACTATTTATTGCCATTTATACTTTCTCCCTATCTATTATAATATTAAAGAAAATATCCAAAAGCAGTAAAATTTAATAAAAATAAACTATTTCCAACAGTAACCCAACAATGGGTTGTTGAACTCATCTGAAAATTTCATAACAGATAGATAGATCATGACCCATTTGTCACTTTAACTCTCTTTCACTTTTCACTTGTTGATGGATGAAAACTTCGGATAGAATTTATAAACAAGATACCCTAAGGAACATTCAGTTAAAGTTTGGAAGTATTTGGCCCAGTAGTTTCAGAGAAGAAGATTTTTGAAAAAGTAGTAGACTTGCACGAAAAATGTAAAAAATAAATGTTTCAAGGGCAATAACTCCTTAAGGGGTCAATTGACTTTTTTTATCATTTGACTTATTTGTAGATCTTACTTAGCTTAACATTTTTGCTATGTACACTTTCTCTCTATCTATTATAATATTAAAGATAAAAACCAAAAACAGTAAAATTTCATAAAATTAACTATTTCGGACAGTAACCCTACAATGGGTGGTCCAATTGGTCTGAAAATTTCCTAGCAGATTGATCTTGACTAATTCTTCACTTAAACTCATGTCACTTTTGCTCTAACTGCTATAGTTTTTGAGATAAAAGCCAAAAACTGCATTTTACCCCTATGTTCTATTTTTAGCCATGCGGCCATGTTTGTTGATGGATCAAAGCTTTGGATCCAATTTATAAACAAGATACACTAAGGAACATTCAATTAATGTTTGAAGGTATTTGGCCTCGATTCTTGAAAAAGTTTACGATGACGACGACAGACGACGACGGACGCCAAGTGATGGCATAAAAATACTTCCTACCACTTGTTCTATTTCTCTGTTATTGCTCCTGGATTGTTCATTCCCTTCCTTTGTCTTTACAGTCAATGTTTCTTCCTCTCCTTCAACATGACAAAACACTCTTGGGATGCTGTTGGATTTCCGCCACATCTTTAGTGGTTTAACTGCTTTGCCAATACCCTCATGAGCTGTTTTTAATTTACCACCATAAAACATTCTAGATGGGAACTCACAAATACTTGTATTCTGAAAAAATGTTTACTCCCCACTTTACATGTACATTTACTGAATGTTCATGTTTTATTATAATTTCTTGTCATCAATTTCTACATTGAGACTTGAATTTACACCATACTATAGACAAGTGATGATTTCCTGCATTTATGAAGCATTGAAATACATAGTAAAAAAATTTGATAAAAAAACATTTTTAATAGTCCTCTTGTTTTTTAAATCCCTAATCGAAATTTTGAGAAATAAGCAGGCATTTCCTAATTTTGTTTTCTATTGTCACCTGGGCTACATATTTCAGCCTTGCAGTTTCGATTTCTTTCTGCCTCTTCTTTTGAACCATATTCAATTCTGAGATTTTGAACTGGTTACTAGTCTCTGGTATAAAAATACTTTCCTTGCTGGTGACATTTTATTGGTTAAGTGACATCTCAGAATTCAATGAACATAATATTCTCATTTGCAAAATATTTACAACGATATAGATATCATATATTGTTCTAAATAACTTTTCTAAATTTTATCTCACATACAAACATTTATGTAAGAAACCACCCAGGCATTTTTACTATATATATAATAAAATATTAATTTTCGCGAACCATTTAGGTCACAGAAATTCCAAAAAATGACATCAGTAAGGAGAGTTGTACAAATGATGTGAATACACAGAAGCCTTGATGCAATGAAGAAAAGGGGTTGACAGGATAAACGTAATCGTTATAAATTTTAACTTCATGGTTCTTATGCAAGCAAATTTAATAAACAATGATTTTATACAGTTGTGTTATTGTTTTCACCTTACATAGGGCTTTATTTCTGATCTCATTTCTGTGTACACAATTCTGAATCTACATATTTCAGCTATATCAATATTAGGTAAACTGTTTACGATTCCATATACTATTATGTTTTAGGGTTTTATAGCTTTAGTGTCGAGTTGGTGTATAGTATTGAGGGCTATCTGCGAGAAATAAATCCTTTTTTCTGATAGGTTAACTAACTTCAAAACCAATATAAAAATAGTTAACACGTATATTTTATTTATCTGAGTAAATTGATCGGAATGTGAATGATACATAAACCTAAAATTCGTTTTGGTCTATCCCAGTGATGACATTTGCGCGGGAATTTAGTCCATTGACATCGTAATATAATTTACTTTGGATTGTAATTATCTTTAGATGTAATGTTACAGGATTTAATGTGAAATTATTTGTCTCTTCTTTTATAGTACACGAGTTTGACGTCAGGTTTTTACACATGAAGTCTCTAGTCTAAAAAAAGCCAGTGACAGAACGATAAACAGATAAGCAACTGTTGAGGGCCAAGTAAGGGAGGTGAAAAAGCCATTATTACGCAGAACGATAAACAGTAACATAGACGGATCCAGGGGGTGGGAAAAATTTGGTTGATTTTATAGGGAAGCAGGGGCGGATCCAGCCATTTTATAAAAGGGGGGTTCCCAACTCGGGACAAAGGGTGTGGGGGGGGGGGGGGGGGGGGGTGTTCCAACTATGTGTCCCCATTCAAATGCATTGATCGTCCAAAAAAGGGGGGGGTTCCAACCCTCGGAACCGTCCCCCCGGATCCGCCACTGGGGAAGCATGACGGGAGTGGGCAACCCTTAGGTCAGTCAGCGGCCACCCCCCTTTTATGAAAAGTTGTGGATCCGCCACTGAGATTTATAAAAGCAGGTTTTCTTTGTGTAGATACCTTAAAATATCACCAACTGTGACTGAGTACACAATTTGATTCATTTTAGCTCATTAGCTGGGCTCACTCGCTAAAAAGGTTCATTGCGGGCCTGCTCACTGGCTAACATTTTACGATATTCATGACTCGTGTAGAAAAGCCGATAATCTATACATGTGTGTGAGGAGTAGTTATCAAGCTTGCTTTCGTCTGTAAAAACTGTCTTAGGCCAAGTTAGGGAGGTGAAAAAGCCAATAATAGAACGATAAACAGATGATCAGGTTTTCTTCATATAGATCCCTTAAAATATCCCCCACTGAGGACACAATTTGATTCATTTTAGCTCACTAGCTGCGCTCACTCGCCATAATAGGTTCATTGCGGCTTACTGGCTAATATGTGTAGAAAAGCTGATAACCTATACATACATGTACATGTATATGGTCAGATCATATGTTTTCGTTCGTCATATGAATTTGTACTATGCATGCCTTTTCAATGGAAATTGTGACGACAGTATGCATTCTAAAACGATTAGAAGAGGATACATATGCCAACCAAAATTTTTCAGCAATGTCAAAATATGTGAGGACACCCTATCAAGATCTATTAAGCTTGCGTTCATGTTGCGTTAAAACTGTTTTAGGAAGGTGAAAAATACCAACAATATAACAATAAAGAGATAATCAATATTGTAAAATATCAATGTGTTGAAAAGCCAATGGTCTACATATATACAGTACTTAAATATGTCAACCATAAAATAAAACTGATTTAATTTACACCACAACTGTTGAAAAAAACCTTTATGTTTATATAACTTATCTCATTCTAGTCCATTCAACTGACAGAATCAGTGTACATTTCATGAACTCTTTAATAACAATAATCATCATGGACTATTCTTCTATTCTTTATAGCAATATCTGTTAGCCATTTAGGGGTCTTTTGCATTCAAAGTTTAGTTTTAGTGGGTTTATTTTGCGAAAAAGAACTCAATTCCAGATCAAAGTTAACATTTTCTATATATTTTGTTGTGTCAAAATGACCTAATGAATATAAAGGACAGTACCCATATAGACCCAAAAATGGTATATCACATTCTACACATGACATTTTAGCAGGAAAAACTGCCATTGGAGTATATAACTTTTAACCTGTGTATGTATAATTAAAATATGATAATAAAATTCATATCTTTTTCAGGACTTCTGATCGAACCATGTACATGTAGTATGGCATGTTTGTGAGATATGGTTTTGGTGGATAGGATGTTCATGAAGGACCTGTAGTACAAAGTATATCACTGGATTGAGCTCTTTGTCTAAGTGTATTATTAAAGTGCTTTGCTTTGAGCTCAGTTCATTGTTATGCAATTCATTCTTTGTGAAATAAAGATTTGACAGACAACTCTCATGTACAAGGATTTGTCAGGGTAGTATCCATTCTATGTACAATGTAAGTAATAAGGAGATAAAAGCATTTTATTATGATTTGAACCAAACATTTTTTGTCCTTTAACCAAATTTAAAAAAAAGAACAAATTTACCCGACAATGCTACACTCGCTACTAGCAATATGATGCTAGGTTGTTTTAATACATCTGTACTGTCTACTGATGACACGGTCCTGAGTGTAAATGGTCATTCAGTATGTTAAAAAAAAAAAAAAATTTATAAGGCCTATCTGGCCTAATTGATTTCTAAAACTATATTTCATTGTTCATGTTCAACATTTTTCATTCATTTGTTTATTTCTTAATTTGTGTGAATTAACATTGTTACAGTAACTGTTTATATTTGTATCCATATAACAAAAAAAATTGAAAAGAGAATAATTTTGCAATACCTTTTTCATATTGAATACTATAACTTTTTTGATATTTAGACATATTAAGTAGATTTTCATAATACCCACTTGACATGCTTGAAATTATATCAGATTACTTTTGGAGCAGTTATGAGTCTTTGAAGCATGCTCACAAAGGTTTTTTTGTTGATATCGTTTTCATATTGGTCAAAACTTTTTTTTGCTTCGCCAGCTTTGGAGGAGATGTTATCAAAGAATTGATAAAAAACAACACAGAAGTTTACTTTCTAGCTCATCTAGCCCCAAGCATCATGTCAGGCATTTTCATTACTAAAAACCAATAAATGTCTTCTAATCTGAGAAACAATTTCGACATTTTAACAAAATATTTTACTAATGATACTGACAATCCACCACAAAGTAATATAAATAGAACCATAAAAATAGTGAGCAAATACATATAAAAAAGATGTGGTATGATTGCCAATGAGACAATTCTCCACAACAGACCGAAATGACACAGAAATTAACAACTACGGGTCACCGTACAGCCTTCAACAATGAGCAAAGCCCATAACGCATAGTCATTTATGTTATTTATGTACACAAAATAAACGAAAAACAAATATTATGTAACACATAGACAAACGACAACCACTGTTCTCAGATATCATCTCCCATTTAAAAAAAAATCGCATGAAAAAATTAACCTATTATGTGTTGCTCTCCTAGCTACAAAATTTATCCAAAATCAAAGATGTGGAAAATATTCTATCATAATCATTTGGTCATTAATGCAATTAGTGTCTCTTCCATGCCCTCTTGAACATAAAATCTAAATATTAAATAAACAACACTCCTCATGCTCAGGTTGGTTGTCATCGTGCAACACAGTTAATAACACCATATAGGAAAAACATAGAACTCCTTTTGTCATATAAAACACTGTCAAACATCCAAATACTATCCACATTCATCTGTGTCCACACTTGTTAAATTATTAAAATAAAGTACTTCAAATCCAGCTTTTTACAGTAATATTATGTATAGGGGAAACAAGTTTAAAAAATTGTTCTTCCAATATTTTGTTGAAGTTGAACAGATATTTTGTAAATATTATGATATGTTGTTGATCAAACATGATGTATTGTTTGGGGATTAATATCAGTCACTAATATATAGTATTACCTTTCTTTTCTGTTAAATGTTTCTTTTGTTTTTCTGCATTGAAATTATTTAGAGATTTACTCTGAGCATTGCACAAGATTGGACATCATGATGATAGTGTATGAAATCTAGTTCACAGTAAATTGGTCAATTTTAAGATTAAATAGGGTGGATTGATATCTAAAAAGAAATATGCCAATGCTTTGCAAAGTCACAATTATAACTTTTTTAATAATGTTCATAAGATGGCAGACAGACTTTCAAAAACATGTACAGAGGGAATGATGGAAAGGACAAAGAGAGCATCTATCTACAAACTTTTAAGGGAGGAATTACTTATTTTATCTTTTTACATTGTAACTTATTATATACTGCCGAATGAAATAAGGGTCAACTTGGTCTATAGTGCCAATAAGTGGGTACAACAATCCTATTAAAACAGCTTCAACAACATGGTGGAAAACATTTTTCTGGTTTTTCATTCCTTTTTTGGGATTTTTTGTTAGACATCATAACATACTGAGCCTACGATTTCCCTGCAAATTGGTATCTGAGGAGCATAAGATTTCCAACAATTTTCTATATCTGATTACAAAAAAGTAACCTTTGGGAGCTCTTCAGGTAGCACCTGCCGCATATAAGTCTTTGTATAGATGAATGAGTATGTAATTCATTATATTCTATATTTAGAATTTGCTATATTCTTACCATCCTATACTGTTGTTCCAACATTGTCATCAGAGAACGGTCAGTGGAATATCTCTCAAACAAAGATTTCTCTAAACCTAGCTCGGATGCCTCTCTGCTAATAATAATTGGACGTAACTGTTTGTGATCACCAATAAGGACAACCTGAGTGGCATGTGTGGCAATGATTGGAACCATACTCTCTGGCTCAGAACACATGCCACATTCATCAATGATGACTTGAGCCACTTGATCTTTTGTAGCAGTCAACAACCGTGGATTACCTGCCAGGGAGGTGGTACAAAATATGACATCATAATTATCTAACTCCTCTACAGTAGCATTGTGAAGCAAATGTTTGTATTCATAAATGTCCTGCAATTTTGTGTTGACTGGTTTTCTTAGCTCATGAGGCACTTTCTCATTTTCTTTTATTATAATGTTGTCGGCATGAAACTTAGCATCAAACTCTTGGATTTTTGCTGCATGAGGCTTTCCGTCTGATCGAATGATATGATGAAGCACTACACCCTTCTCATTTAATAATTGATCTGATTGCGCAGACCTCATAGACCTACTGGAAATAATAGCACGGCCAGGTACAGGAAAGTCCAGGTATTCATAAGCGCTAGCGTACATTCTGACTATTTTTGGAGCCTTGTCTCCAAGTTTATTCACTACCCATCCTGTAACCAAAACAAATAGATTACAAAATGTTTTTTAAAATACTTTTGTGCTGTTAAAAATAGTGAAAATATATAATATAGTTGAAGTTATTTTATTCAAATCAAATAAATTTAATTAAATGTTTTATGCAGTTTTAAAATTTAAACTTTTTTCTGTTGCTGTTAGGATCTCTGGATACATTTTGGAGCTATCTGGACTGATCCAAAGTCTTTAACCCTGCCAAATTCTATGCCTGTCCCAAGTCAGGAGTTTGACTCAGGACCCATTATTTTGTACTTAAATTAGGCCGTTAGTTTTCTCCTTTGAATTGTTTTACATTTGTCATTTCGTGGCCTTTCATAGCTGACTATGTGGTATGGGCTCTGTTCATTATTGAAGGCTGTACAGTGACTTATAATTGTTAATTTCTGTGTCGATTTGTCTTGTGTGTAGAGTTGTCTCATTGGCAATCATACCACATCTTCTTTTTATATTTGATACTTTTTATTTTGCTGAGCATTTCATGTATTCTTGTCTCTTTAATATCTTTTGTTAATCAAGGTATTTAACATATTCTTGTCTGGTAACTTTTTCAACTGAACACTGTATCTGTATTGTTATGTCTATGACTACGTTTAATATAAACGTTATAATGCTATATTGTAAAACAATTTTAACATACCAAAATATCATTTTCCCAATATAATTATATTAGTGTAAGAAAACTGAACAATTCAACATTGGTGTAAGGAGTGGAATATGAGGAATTCAATTCATATTGCAAGATCTTAGTCTCAACCAGGCCCCAATTCTAATTTTGACTTTGATACTGAACATATAAATTTTCATCATGATTATTTTGGTTGGTAATAACATTAAATGACCATTGTTAAAGGTTGAAATAACCATTTTGTGCAAAATTAGGTAACCACTGAAACCAGTTAAATGATATATAAAACAACCTTTGGGATGGTCTGAGAGTGTCCATTAGAGAAAGTTGACCACTGAAACAAGGTGACTGTTATGGCAAGTTTGACTGAACTTGTATGTAAAAAAAAGATATAACTGTCAATTATTTTACTTCACTATTCAGAGATAAAAAGTTCTGGTCCAAAGTTATTGTCCAAACATGGCTGAAGGTGAGACATAATTACACATACTTGCTACTAGATCAACAGATTTATTTGATGGTCCACAGAAAATCACTCGTCTTCTTTTTCCATCTCTCTCCTGTGCTAGCTTGTTCAACTTATTAAATAAATACACAAGTTTGACTCCTGTGAAAGTCTTCCCTGTTCCTGTAAAACATATAAAAAATATATGAATACTGAAGAATAATTTGTAATTGTAATAGTAAGATAAAAAGCTTTAGAACCATTTCAAACTTTGAAGGTCTTATTTGTGTGAATAATTAGAATACTGTAAATTCAGAAATTATTGCAAGGTTTTTATGAATGTGAATAATGTGACTGGGTGAGTATCATAATAATAAGAACCCACATTCTTATCTCTATTGTATGCAGCTTTTCAAAAAGTCGCAAGAATAAATGCATGCATCTATTTTAATGTTGATTGACAGAGGCTTTCCAAAAGTTATATTTAAATACTGCTTATGTTTATTGAATAATGCACAGTTATACCCCAATGGGGTATAAAGCAGACATAAATCAACAAATAAGTTTACAATACACCATAAAAAACAATAAAAGAACAAAACATTATATACATATGTATCTATCATGCAGTTGTTGAGGCCAACCTCCTAATTGACCATGACTTTTTAACAAATGGAGCAGCATACTGCATAATTGAGGGACACGAAAAGCATAAAACCAATTTATCAAATACTGATAAATCATCAAAAGAAATAAAGTAGTCAAAGTAAGTCAAGCTTTAGCTTTGTTTATTACATAACTGTGTAATTAAGATGTCAAATTGTAACATACCTGGAGGTCCCTGAATTAAACTGAACCTAGAATTCAGAGCTTTTTTGATAGCTGTATGCTGCTGTGTGTTGTTGGCAGGAAAACCTAGTATATCAACTTCATAACTTATGGTTCTACAAAGTCTAAGATGATCCTGATCTGGAAAAAAAACCCCAAAAAATTTATTTGTTGATGCAATGTTGCCAAAATGTCACTGATTACTTTAATATAAAAAATATGCATCATGCTAAAAATATCAAAATATGTTGGGTTTTTTCAACAGGTGTTTCCAAGAATCTCTGCATATTTTTCAGCTTGATATCATAATTACTGAAAAATGAAAAACAAATACATGTATTATTTCTGCAGAAGAATGATTACATGTAAAATGTTATTATACCATATCCTTCTCAGTTTCTGTTACTATGTTCCTGGAAGGATTTCTTTTTGGACAGAATCTTGTTACATGGAGGGTTATTAAAAATAAATTTAGCAACATAGATTTGGACTCTAAATTGTGTTATTTTCAACAAAAAAAAAGATTACTTGTATGGCAATTTTTATGTGATATTTGATGAGTTGACAATGGTTGAGTACCAATAAACATCACTTAAGAACCTAGCCACTCACAATAGAAATTTTCTTATATATGAACATGAATGTCATATATTGCTGTTTGGTAGTGAGAAGAAAAAGTTAATGAACAATAGCCACCGTCATAAATCCAGAGCTCTAGAAGCTCTCCTTCTTTCTCAAATTTAAATTTATGTCACTTGAAATCAACATAGAATTAAAGTTGAAAATCAACAAACCCCTTCTATCTCTTTTGAATAAAACTTGCATTTCAAAACAAGCTTATATAAAATAAAAAGTATGATTGCCAAGAGACAATTCTCAAACAGAGACCAACTGACAGAAGATAACAACCATAGGTCACTGTAAGGCCTTCAACAATAAACAAAACCCATACGGCAAAGTCAGCTATAAATGAAAGTTTTCAAAAATCAAATATCTTCAAAGGACAAATTCCTGATCTAAATTGGATGAAACAAAACAGTAACTGGTCCTGGACCAGTACAGCTATATTTAAAGTGAATATTTATCCAATTTCATTGCACAAATTGTTGTGCAATCATTTGCAAATATCATTATTGATTTCTGGAAATCATAGCCGACGTCAGCACATATTCATAAGCAGAACTTATGAAGTATGCTTAAAACTTTTGAAGATTTGTCAATCAAATACACATATAATCCAGATCTATTTCAATAAATAAGTATGATATGCAAGAACACATAAACTATGTTGTATAAACTCTTAGAAACATTCTATATACCTGAGGCACTGATAGTATGTCCTAATGCAATATTCTCAGCGAGTTCACTAGCCTGTCCCTGTCCTAATAGTTTGATGTAACATTCTATTCTCCTACAAAGAACAGTGTTTATGGCTAGATGTCAATATAAAATTGTCTTTCATTGGTTGAAACACAGCTGATAGATATAAGAAGATGTGGTATGAGTGCCAATAAGACAACTCTCCATCTAAGTCACAATACATTTTTGATAGTTATTGATAAAATATTTAAACTGAACATACTAGTTGCAAGAAAAAAAAACAGTTTACACAGGTATGGTTATTGTAATAATCTTGTGTGATTGTTTACCAGTGTTTTCAAAGCATTGATGTGCAAACAAAACTAGAATCAATTTACACACAGTACAAATTATAATATATCTAAAACAACCGTTTTAATTATTTGCTATAATTTTTTGCTAGAACATTGATTAGGGAATTAATATAAATATCAAAATAAAAAATACCCTCAGCATACATCATGCGTATCTTGACTCACAGGCTGTTTGATTTTCAAGTTAAACATTTTCAAGAATAAGAATTAGCAAAAACATTTAATACAAGGAGAGAATTAGAGCTAATTTCCTAATGCATGCAGAGCAAGACTTTGGTTAGCTTGCTTGCTTTGTTTGTATATTGTACAATTGTAATTGGGATAATGTTCAATCAAATTTTAGTATGATCTATACAGTTTTAACTATGCCAATATATATTGTTTGACGATGTCAATCATAATTACAAAGCTTGAGTAAATGTTTATACAAACAAAGCAAGCAAGCAAGTAAACCAAAGTTTTACTCTACAAGCATTAAGAAATTAGCTCTAAACAAAAATAGGTTTAAATATATACTGTATTAAAGTAAATATAAAATTGAGAATGGAAATGGGGAATATGTCAAAGAGACAACAACCCGACCAAAGAGCAGACAACACCTGAAGGCCATCAATGGGTCTTCAAGGCATCGAGAATATACTTACCTGAAGACTTTAGGCTTTAAAATGAGTTCTATGGAACATTTATCATCAGATGTTACTTCTGTCACAGGTGGTAAGGAACTGCATTCATGCAACTTGAAAACAAGATCAATTTCTAGAACCTTTTTAAAACACTCTCTTCTTTTGCTGAATTTCTTGGTCCTTATTTTCCTGGATTTCAACAGTTCACCATGAGCTACCCAAATGTACTGGCTTTGTCTTGGCAGGCAATTACCTATTTTTGCCTTGACATTTTCTGGTAGAGGCCTTTTCAATTTAATGCATAAAAAGTGAGGACTCAAAATATTTGTGTACTTTGGTTTCTTCTTCTGTGAGCTGCCATCTTGTGACCTGTTTTCAGTTTCTTTATTTTCTCTTTCTGGGTCAACAACCTCCAATCCAGATGCTGTACGAGTCTTACTTTCTTCTGGATTTGTATCAAAAGACAAATTTTCCCTCTGACCTACATTTGACATTTCTTCTTCGGTATCTGTTTCATTTGCTGTACTCATTGGGGTATCCTCTTCCTCAGGGTTAATTCTCTGCTCTGCAGATTCTTCTATAATATTCTCTGTCCCATCATCAATCCCAGATGATAGTTTTTCTATATCTCCACTAGAAATATCGATATCTCTGATATCACAGAATCCCTTTGTTAAGACAAATCTCCCCCTTCGTCCCCTAAATTCTACTGGGATGTCATTTATAACTGCTGTATCTTCATTGTGCACTGCATTGAGGGTTGCTTCCATTTCTACAATAGGTATCCAAGTTTTGACATAATCCTCCAGCCTGGAATATGTTGGCTTTGTATGCAACTTCGCATATCGTAGCAATGTTTTTATTGGGTTATCAAAATGGTCAATGCAGAACTTAATATTTTCTGTTACGTCAAGAACCTGAGGAGAAGGTGTCAAAAACCCACGATTCAGACTTGCTGACATTTGAAGTTGGATGATTTGTCCATGATGGTATGGTACTTGAAATCGGCATCTATGCTCCACAATGATTCCCTGTTTAACTTCTGAGCTAGCATCAGCCACACTTCGTTTGAATGAACTGACAGTATCTTTATCAAGTAAAATATTATTTATTGTTTGTTCATGGTCTTTAAACTTGTAGAGCATATCTTTTAAATCATCAATCTTTTCTTCCAAAATCAACTTCAAAATAGTACTCCAATGCTCCTTGTACCTTACAAAAGTTGTATTTTGGTGTGGAAAAATTCTTAGATAAGGCGAGAAATACTTCTTTTCAGACTCAAATCGACTTGTTTTAGGTTTTCTGCATGCTCTATGTGTGTAATTGTACAATCTTTTCTCCCATTTCACTACAACCATTTTCCTGTCTTTCTCATATTCTGTCATACTTTGCATTTCAACATCATCTTTTTCCTCTGGTTTGCAAGCGACATCTAACAGTTTGAACTGGATTTCTTTCCTGGAGATTGGGAGTTTTTGTAAACCTGGTATGACAATTTTGATTCCGTTATCTGATATTTCTTTCACAAAACCATTGAATAAAACAGGATTTCTCTTGAAAAATCTACCAAAAATGAACTGCTTACAACCTTTCTTAAACTGGTTTGCCCTCTTTGTAGCATCATTTATGGTCAAACATAAATCTGATATTTCTTGAGGGTCATAAGGAGATACTGCCTTCATCAGCATTGCAGAGACAAGTCTATGTACAATGAGATCACTGTATCTACGAAGTGGAGAAGTAAAATGGACATAAGATTTTTTTCCCAGGGAGAAATGGATGCCTTTTTCTTGATTTGCCAATATCTCTGTAGAACAGACATACTTTGATGATTCTTGAAACAAGTTCCACTCATGGTATGCCAAAGCTTGTTTAGGATGCAGAAAATCAGACTGGATAAGTTGCTTGATTCTGGATATATTTTGTACAGTTTCTGGCACCAAATCTTTGATCTCCTCCAAAACCCAAGTCTGGACCGGTGTAAGTTTCCTAGTTCTCCCTTCTGGTGGAGAATGAAAGACAGAAATCGTGCCTCTTGGTGTGTGTCTTGATTGAAGACCAAGAATGTGATGTATGTAATGTTGATTTACATTGTACCAGTTGTCAAACACTTCATCAGCAGGTGTCTGTTGACAGAGAAGGGGAACACTTCCTGGATATTGTTTTCTCAAAAGTTGGGCAATACTATGGTTTGTCAGTATCATAAATTCTTCAACTAAGGAATGTGCCTGATATGTATCCATGGGATTTTCATCCTCTGAAACATCTATTTCTACTGGCCATGAAAATGAAGCATGCCCTAATCTGTCTTCTTTCAAACACTGGGAAAGTTTATACAACATTTTTACATCCTGAGCCAATTCAATTGGTTGTTCTTCTAATTTGTCATCTAAAATATTTTGAACTTCTTGGTATGTAAACTGTTTACAAGATTTAATGATAGATTTCTGAATGATTGGCATTGATTTTGCAAGATTCCCTTTCTCATCAAATTTAAAATATACTGATATAACAGGCTTTTTCTGATTTGGTAGCAAACTGCAGATACTTTCACTCAAAGGTTCAGGCAGCATAGCAAATGGACGGAATCCTTTACCTGGGTAAAATGTGACACATCTAACCTGTGCTTCTCTATCCACTGGATCATTTTTCTTGACAATAGTTGACACATCAGTTATGTGTACCCCTACCTTATAAGAACCATCTTCCTGCCTTTCAACAGAGAGGGCATCATCTAAGTCTTTTGAACCTGGTGGATCTATGGTAAAGATCCTAAGATTGCTAGTTCTGTCTAGGTAATCATTAGTACTGAAGGCCTTAGCTTCTTTGAATGCTGCCTTAATGCCTTCAACAGTGGATTTTTCATAGAAATAAGGCACTTGGTGTTCTTTGGACATTATTCTTATTCCATCATAAGGATTTTGTGAGCAATGAATGACATCAATAACTGCTGCCAAGGGATATATTTTATTGGGTTTCCATTTTATAAAGGCAACAATAAACAACCATTCTTCTCTCTCTCCTTCTTGAACATCATGATAGCGCAAAAAGCTAACGGTTCCTTTGGTGGCATCATAGTTATAAATCTCAACTCTAGATTTACGAATATGCTTAAATTTTCTGTTAACTTTGGAGTGTAAAATATGTAATTTTGGAAGAGTACGACAGAGTGGTTTCATCAAATGTCCTTCCCTAAGATCTAAAAGACATACAAACACAGGATGGTCAATATCTTTGTAACGATGTCGTTGAAGAAAGGAAACTACTTCTCCATGAACCTTCCCGCCAATTTGTTTTGAGTGAATCTGAACTATTACTGTATCATCCGTAAAGGTTTGACCACATTTTGATCGTCCAATGATTTGAATTTCCTGTATTTCATCCGTTGGTTCAACTGGTGTACAAACAGCTTGATGAGCTGATTCAATACTGATAGTGCATTTTTTATATATCTTTGGTAACTTTCGACATTGATCATCAAAATTTTTATTACGAATGTCACGGTACATTATCATCTTTCCTTTGAAATAATGAGATCCAACAGATTCAATACATTCCTCACTCAAATCCAAACCTTTCTGAAAATATTCTTTTTCCAGAATATTTCTTGCTCTGAACTGTCCTGAATGATAACTTAGGCTTCTTTGAAAATATGTTGGTTCTTCTGGAGACTTTTCCTCAATGTTGTCTTCTTCTTTCTCCAAATCAGAGGCTGAACTACACCAATCACTACCAGAATCAGAAACATCATATTCTGATCCACTAAATTCATCTGCAGACAAACCAGCCATTGACATAGTTGTACAGCTGGTCATTGATGATATATCAGACATATTTTCACTCCGATTTTCTTCCTCTGAAAATCTCATTTCTTCATTCATTATGAAGTCTTTTCCACTTTTATTGTGACCCTTTAGATACTGGTGACCTCTTAAAGCTTGACGACTATCGTTTCTCCATTTTTGAATCATGTTAAACTTTGAAGACGGGCTTACTGCGAAACTTGGTAATGGCAGAGTACCAGAACTCTGTGATGAACTACTCTGATCTGTCAAGATTCCTTTCTTTCTTCGTAATGTCTTTGTTTTTCTTCTTATTTTAATCTTTCTACTTCTAGTTGAGCCTGATGATGCAGTGTCATCATTAGAACTTGCATCGGACAATGCTGAATATTCAGAATCGGCAATACTTTGGGTATCTGACCATTCATTTCCAACATCATCAACTTCAGCTTCAAAATCGATGTTTGCAGATTCCACTAAATCTATAAGTTGACCATAGCTGTAGCCTGAACTTTCTGTCAGTGTATTTCCAGAATCTAAATGGAATAACAAGATTTGTAAATAATAAGTTGATAATATTTTACTTTATTTTTCAAAAACTTTCTCAATTATTAACCTATTAAAGTTGAGTTATTATCGGGTGATAAGTTTAAAATACATGATAACAAAAATGTAAGTTAAAAATGTTTACATCAAGACAATAACACAATAAAAGCAGGAATGACATCTAGCATACAAAATACCCTGACAAATGTCTATACCATCTACCAAGTTTTCAATTTATGGTCATACATTTACATTAATTTCTAAAAAATCAAAGAACTGCCATCAACACCAAATTATAAAAATAAAATAAAATAAACTGTTGACGCATAGATATGTCTCATGTTTTGTAATTTTGATAGTACATGTATAATCCAAATTCAAAGTCAATGAACCATGTCTGAAGGTGAGGGTCAAATAACCTCCATGCAAATGAGAAATGACAATGCATATAAACTTTAACTTGTAAACTACATGTATGTAAAAGTTTCAAAGTCGAAGACCATGATGAGGGATAGGTGCCATATTATCTCCATGAGACTTGAAAATGCTAATACAACTGCATATCAAATATCATTGACTTAACATTAGTGGTTCATCTTAAACTGATCTTATCACAAACTTTAACATGTAAACAATGCAAAACATTCTAAGTCAATAAACCATGACTGAGGGGGGAGCCAAATAATCTTCATAGAAATGAGATGTGATAATGCTAATACATCTGCATACCAAAAATCAGACCTACCACTAATGGTTCTCTTAAGGTTGCACTTCTGTAAATATTCCTATAGGAACTCCTTTTACAGCTAAAATTGAGCCACTTTTACTATAAAGTTTTGTAAAAAATTATATCCTAGAATGGAAAATTTATATGCACAACTATTTTTTTCAAAGGTCAAAACATAGGGCTGTGCGGCATATTTTCAACATTTATATGCCTCAAACTTCTAATAGTTTAAACTTATACTAAAATTATGTACTACCCCCTCCCTTCACTTTGGGTCTTCCTCCGAATTCAATTTGGCCACTATCCATGTGTATTTATACTGGTAACATTTTCAAGTTCTGTCTCTACGAGATGAAGCATAAAGATCACATCTGGGAACCAGTAGGTAAACAAAACAAAATATCTATGATTATTAAATTTCTCCCCAAAAGAGACTTGGTTTTTGTGAAACAGCTGTATTTACAAAGTGCAACCTTAAACTGACCTAATCACAAACTAATACATATAAACTAAGCAAAGGTTTAAAAGTCAATAGACCATGACTGAGGGGGGCGGGGCCAAATAATCACCATGGAAATAAGATGTGCCAATGCTAATACAACTGCATACCAAATATCATTGACCTACTACTAGTGGTTCCCCAAAAACTGATCTAATCACAAACTATTACATTGTTGAGGCAGCCAATGCTGTCGCCAATGCCGGAAAAACAAAATGCCTAAGGCTCTCTTTTTTGACTTAGTTGACGCGAGACAATAAAAGTACTGCAAGCAAAGCTCATAAAATAATACCACAGGCCCTTGCAAAGTCCATACTTTAGTTAGGGAAAACCCAAAAATAATTGAGATAAAAAACAAATAGGTGCCCATTTGCATTATCTACAAAGTTTCATTAAATTCTGTTGTGTGGTTTCAGAGGAGTTGCGATAACAAGAACGGGACTGGTTGACAGACTGACGGATGAGTAAAAACATTATAGTTGCGTGGGGTATAATTAAGTAAAATTGTGAGGGTTCAATAAATTACACTACCATATCGTAAGTCTGTGACCATTAAATTTCCCCTTTACATTATATATTGATGCAATAGTAAGATTAACAAAACTTAAAGGTTTTAAACCAGACTTTTCTAATATCATCTTTTCATGAATTTATTTTTCATATACTGAGTATAAAGTATTAAGCAGGTTTTTTTCTCATTATTTTTTTCATGCATAACTTTAACTTACCACCATTTTCATTATGTTTGTTCTCTTTATTTCTCTGAAAAAGATAATTAACTAAGTTTAAAAATCCTGTAAAATAGATGAAATGAAATATTAAGTTAATACATACATCTGTTCAGCATCACAAAGCTACAAAACTTTGACAAGGAGTCCTTTACGTCTATATAGTGGCAATCAGGTTTTATTGGTGGAGGAAGCCAGATTCCTTGGAGAGAACCACAACATCAGTAGGAAAACTGACAATCCTAGTTTATTAAGAGTGGAGTTAAATGCAACTGCCAATAGCAAGCTGAGAACTCACAACCCCAGTGTTGACAGGCTAGTGATACAGTAAATTAACTGCTTAGATGTAAAAAAGGAATTGAAAGAATATGCATTGTTTGCTTCTTGTAGATACAATGTAGTAAAATAATCAATTAAGCAACTTCAAAAGCATAAAAAATTATTTTGGTTAAAACTGTTAAAACTGTCCCACTAGTTTCAAAGTATAAGATAATATAAATGTATTTTCTGGAAGATCCTGTGTAAAGTTATTATTTAATAACCATCTTAGATCCTAATGAAGTAATACTGTGTAAAAGTGATAGGCAATAACCTTAGGTTCAACTTTGGCATAACTTGCTCAAAGAAGAAGTTATAATAGGCTATTTTTTGCCCCTTGAATTTGACAATCAAAAAGTTTTATGCACTCCTTCACATAATCACAGGATATTTATAGTTTGTTAGATATCAATATTTATATTTATGAAATTTGTCATTTCTTCTTCATTAATACACCTTATCTCTATTTGTCCGCCATTGCTGTAAATTGCAAAGGTTCAAGTATCAATGGAACAAAATACACCAGTTTGCACAACAACCGTGAGAACTTGTATCAAGTCTGATTCAAATCCATCTCGTGTTACAAGAGCGTTGTGGATTACATGTTTAACATGTTTAAGACATCCAATATTTAGTTTTCTTCCAGACCCTCAATCTGGAAAACAAATGTAAGATACAAGACAGCAGTTGCTATTAAGAAAACTGCATTAACTTGTTTTGACACTTTAGAAAGAGGGTATACACATTGAAGCCTTACCTGTTGAATTTTCTGTATTAAATGTTCTTCTAACTTTTGAAATCTGGACTTTTGTTCTTCCTATAAAAAAAATTTGATTAAATCATATTGCAATTTCAGTGTATTTTCACATTTTAAATTATTTACATTCTTAATGGTGGCTTTTATGTAATTTAAATATGAACCAGATGAAAGGGAGATAATTGCAGACATGCATAAAAGAACTTCAAGTAAGAGAACCAATAAGAATTATATCCCCTCGCAGTGGAATGATCAACTGTTTTTATTATTGGAGATTTAATAGCTCAGGGTAAACAAACCTTAAGTTTTGACTTATGGTAAGGAAGTATAAAGCATTTCATATATTCTGTTCAAATTGTATCTTTATGTGTTGCCTTCGATTCAGGTGTAATTACTCATCTTAATTTGAATGGTAATTAAATGTAATTTACAATACCAACTAGGACATAAAACAGTTTCATTTTCTATCTGTTTAATGCTTGGCCAATTCATATATATAGCAAATCTGCATAAACATATAATTTGTCTTTCTTTTTGAAAATATGCGGTATTACTTACAGTTCTTGCAACTTTTATGGCCAGCTCTACTTTTTGTTTAGCTAGAGTATACTTTTCTGTGTGCAATAAGCAAAAGGCCCATAGCTCTAATACATCAATATTGTTGCATTGTCTTTGATCTTTGCATACTGAAATAGAACATTAAGCATATTGTGCCTAATCATACTGCATAAAGAAACTTACCAGTTTTATATATTATTGTATACAATATTTTACACTTGAAGGATAATTGCTTTATCATTTCACCAAAAACTGATCTTTTTACTTAAAGAAATTATAGAAATTAACAAAACAAAACTTATTCAAAATGTTGAATTATGAAATTCCCAATTTTTTTTTACCCCATAGTCCTCTACTTTGAAATTCCCTGCCTAAATGTATGCATGCTGCACATTTGTTGATAACTCAATATTAAAATACAGATCCTGTGTCCACACTTTATTTATAAAGATCTGACTCCACTCCATTGTACTTTCTGTTGTGGTAATTGTTACATCAGCCAATGAATTCCTGCCTACAAATTTTTGAAGGTGTACATCATCACGACAAAATTAGAGGTTACCAAAAGATCTTTAAAATAGAAAGTAGAACAGAGTGCTGTCGGATCCTCGTAAGCAAAGGGAGGACACATGATCAGTATTTTATATTCTAATGGCTTTATTATAAGTAAAAATAACTTGTTACTTACATAAATTAAGGACTTCCTGAGCTTTTATAAATTCTTTCTATAAGAATAGATAATATTTAAATTAGAATTTCACATAACCAAATTAGAGTAATAATAATAGTCTCTTTGCTAAAAACTGATTTGATTCTGTTATTACACACTTTTGAGACAACTTGTTTTTCTTTACAAATTGTAGACTGGTTTCAAACCAGTCAAAATAGGCTGCCCCTATGAAAAGCCCATGAAAAACATGATAGTTAAAAGTGTTAAATAAACATTTTAATAAATGTTTACTAAAAAATAACTATTGATATAAAATGTTTTCAGCCTACATAAAATGAAATGTATTTAAAAGATTACAAACATTATGATTAAATAAATTTGCTTTTTTTCACTAGCTCTTTAAAATTGTAAATTAAAATGGACGTCCCTCCTATGGGTAACAACTGGTACAAATGGATGTTTAATTACAGGATCAAATACAGAATAAACAAATAGGCTATTGCATATACAAAGTAAGCAGTATGACAATTACAAGTTTGGGCTCACTAATGATAACTGTATAAAGAAATGAATGCATGTTTTAATTATTGCAAATCTCTGGTAAATATGGGAGATCTTATTAATGTGATGTCAAAATTTTTGTGAAAGACTGAAGTTATTAATGTGAGTTTTTATTATTGCCAACCTGATGCTTTCACATTTTTTGCATATAAATAAAACCATAGCAATAATTTCTGAATTTACAACAATTCTCCTTTTAAATTAGAGAATTTGAGTCAAATGGGTGAACATGAATTTAATAGCTAATGCCCCTTTAAAGGTTCCATGGATATTGAGAATTGTGTATCTCGAGAGCATAGAATGACATTTTTGTTTTTGATACTGACTTTATCAGCAAGAATATCAAGCAAGCCTGCAAGGGCAAGCTGATACTTGAGCTGATGAAGTCAGTATCAAAAAATAAAATGCCATTTTTCTCTTTATCAGCAATTTTGTTTTAACAATATCTTTTTTGGTTAAGAATGTGAAATAGAATCAGGGTTTGACACTAACTAAATTTCTGTACTAGCCTGTAGGGCTAGTTAAATTATCATTCTACTAGCCCTCCAAGTGCCTAGGCATTTGGACGGTCGTGCCACCGGCATGGCCCTTTCTAGGAGGGTCTGGGGGCATGTCCCCCAGAAAATTTTGACATAAATGAAGCTAAATCCTGTGTTCTGGAGCATTTCCAGAGGGTTTTGAAATGTTTTGTTTAATGAAATTTCACTGGTTTGCTAATAAAAAGTACCAAAAAAAATTTGTATTTTCATTTTTTATCATCCATATTAATAATCTGTGACTGTGTGACTTATTTTGAAGACTCCTTCAGATCATTACTTCATCATTCTCCTCATTATCCATATCATTATTACTAGTTTCATGATTGAAGATGGATAAGTAAGGGATTTAAAAATACACCCACAATAGGGGAAAGGTTTGCACTTGCTGCTTTTTGTCATAATTCTTAATGGACTCCTTCTTTTCCTTGGTTGTTTGTCAGTTTTTTTTTGTTTTTTTTTTTGCAGGACAAGGTTCTATTCCTAAAAATCTGTATATTTTGACCAGAGACCTATAATTTAGAATATATGTCTCTGATGTAGACATATTATTTTGACTTCAGGCAGAAGTGGGGATCCATGTATGATGTTTTTCGTGTGACCCCTGTAAATTTAGAAGTTTTATAATTTCAAGGAGCTTCCTTTCATGACAAATTTAGATTTAGTTTTAGTTACCTGAAAAACCACAGTGAGTCTTGTAGAATTTCAAAGCCATTTCAATCAAGTCTGTTCAGACTAGTACAATTCATATTAATATAAAATGACAATATTATCAAACCCCCATCACAAAAAAAATAAATAAAAATAAATGTTCGTAAAGTATTAAAGTATATACAAATATTTGCAGTTTCACTCTGTTCCCCAGATAGTATGCATTATTTAAATAAATTTAAATGGCACTTCCATCTCAGCTGTTTATCAGATTGAAATTCTTTGCTGTCTATAAATAACCAGATACATTGTAGTCATTTATTTAGGGATTTCCCATATTTTCCCGCCAAAAAGCACATGGCTCCCAACAAATGTAAACATACAAATTTTGCATGTGACCATGATTTGTTTGCAGGATTACTGCTTTTATTAATTTAATTTGGATATAGATATTCAATTTAAGGTAAAGTCAAGCTTTTGCATTTATAGAATAATTTGCATACAATTTTTAATTTTCAACTTGAAGAAACTTGGTCATACGATGTTTGACTTGTTCAACCGTGCGAGACAATATAAGTAAATGGGAATGTGTAAACCCCGAGGATGCATATGTTCATGGAAGATGGGAGTACCCGATATTGTCCGAGTAGAAACAAATTGGTTTTAATTGAAACTTGGATTTGTTGACAATTAAAATTCTGTGAAATTCCTAGTTTTAAACAAAATTTTGACAAGCCCTGTCGGACTACTGTGATGAAAACTTTACAAGCCCTCCCTAATTTTTACAAGCCTTGGGCTAGTGGGCTAGCGTTAGTGTCGAACCCTTAGAATGATATTGTCAGTGAAACTATTTTTACGTGTACAAAACGTTGTAATAGTTGTTTGGTTGTATGAATGAAGTCGCATGCACAGAGTTTGCATATAACCTTATAGAAAATTTGTAATTCATTGAACACTTAATTTCGTGGTTCACCTGTATCCATGAAATCCACGTTAATTAGTATCCAATGAATAATAATGAATCCACAGTACCACAACCAAGTCCCTAATTCTTATTTTATACCTACCACTATATAATGACATCTAGCACAAATGAACCACAATCTAGATATAAGTGTATAAATATTCAGTTTGGAATCTTCTGGTAACTTTGACATCAGTTTTACAAACTTTGTTGCCAGTTCAAAAGCCATGAATAATATTATCCTTGTGTTTCTTTCATAAAGGTCGTTGCATATAAAAACCAAATCTGCCATCTCCTGGTATGCTGCCTATAAAATACAGAAAAAATATCAGACTGAACTAAAGGTTCTGTGATCAAGCTAATAAAATGATATACCTCCCTTTCCATTCACTTCTACTTTCAGTTTAACTGAAAACTTATTTCACTTCAACTGAAATTTCTGTTCAACAGTATCCATATTGTAGTCCTATTCATTTGTCAAAATAACTTTTAAACATATCTTGAAAGGATTGTAGAATTTTATTACATTTATGCAATTCTGGGGGTCAGATAATGGCTCTCATCATACATTCTACTCTAGAAATACTGCAAACAATTTTAAAAAATAACAACAAAAAATAAGTTCAAAACATGCTTTTAAAAATCAACTATGTAAAAAAATATATACAGAACTATAGATACAGGGTGATTCAGAGCTAAGCATACTTTAAAGACACATGTCATTGTTGAAGACCACATTATGACCTTTTAAAGAGTTATGGGTTTTCTGTGTTCTTGGGTTTCTTTCTCTCTCAGACTCTGATGTTTACCTTGTATCTCCTTTTATTCATTTATACCTTTTTTTAGATACTCTAAGAAGATATTTTTAATTGGGAATTCAAAAAGAGTTGAAACAGATTTAAACAAGAATGTGTCCATAGTACATGGACGTCCCACTCGCACTATCATTTTCTATGTTCAGTGGACCGTGAAATTGGGGTCAAAACTCTAATTTGGCATTAAAATTAGAAAGATCATATCATAGGGAATATGTGTACTAAGTTTCAAGTTCAAAAACTACCTTGACCAAACACTTTAACCTGAAGTGGGACAGACGGACGAACGGATGAACGAACGCACAGACCGAAAAACATAATGCCCCTCTACTATCGTACGTGGGGCATAAAAGTATATGGAGAATGTGTCCATGGGACACAGATGATGCACCACTTGCATTTAACATTATAAAGGGACATAACTAGAGAACTGTAAAAGTGACGCCACCCAAATTCAAACTTGATATGTGTTTTATAATAATAAGCATTGCTAAACTGCTTACATCCACTTCATTTGAACTTTGGTTGATAGTCGTCTCATTGGCAACCATACCGCATCTCCTTATTTTTAAATTGTGTATAAGTTTGATAACATTTGGTTAAGGCAAACTAAAGTTAGAGAATGGAAACCAATTTTGGGACGTACATACGTACAGACGGACAGACAAGGGTAACACTTAATGCGGCCGGGGAATAAAAAGTCCCACATAAGGATGACAAAGTTGAGTAAGAGTCCAAGGTAATGAAAATTCAGGTAGCTCAAAATCATTGCTATATGTGACAATATCTGAATGTTATATGCAAATAAATGTTCACTTTAGATAAAGGATCAGGTCAGAATTCAATTTAAAAATTAATCTTGCTTTAGCATATCTGCATATGACCTAAATCAACAGATTAGAAGCTTTGCCAGGAACACACAATTCTACCTAAATATTGATGTTTTTCAGCTATTTCCAATAAAACTGAAATTTCGGATTTTCCCAGACATCAGTCGTGTCATAAAACAAAGTATGGACAATTTTTTTTCCAAATTTTTAGCTAATTAAGAACAAAAAAATGCACTCCGCCTCCAGCAGCTGGATACGACCGCAGAGGTCCAACTCTGAACAGTTGGGGCAGGTATAGACACAATATTCAAGCTTGATCCAGCTCTGAATTTGGATAGTGATTAAATATTTGGCACATTATAGATTTCTGACACAGAATAAATGTGGTCAGATAACTTAAAAATTTGAAATGGGACATTTAATCTACTTAATGTTCCAATATCCGAAATCTAATTCCATAGTTAGATTCAGCATATAAAAAAAAACATGAATTCAAACAAAGTTTAATTTTGGACCCTTTGGACCTTAATATGGACTAATTTAAAAACAGGGCCCAAAATTAAAAATCTGAATGCACAGTTAGATTCAGCATATCATAGAACCACAAGAATTCAGTTTTTGATGAAATCAAACAAAGTATAATTTTGGACCCTTTGGACCTCAATGTAAACCTATTCAAAAATGTCCAAATATCCAATATAGTAATACATGGTAAAAACCTCAAACAATTCAAGACTTTAAATTAATCCTCAATGAAATTGGTTAAAGTATTTGTATTTATTTTCAGTTGAAGATGTCTTGCTGTTGTGCAATACTTAGTAAATCTGTTTACAAACTAAATATAATAGTTTACACACCCTGTTTGGTGTGTATCTCCTGTCATATCAGTATTTGTTGTTTCTTTAAATAGATCAGAAATAATTTATGTTAGAACCAGCTTAGCCAGTATTAGAAAAGACTTGTTTTTGGCCCCTATTTGGCCTCTAGTTTGTTAACGATTAAAGCAATAATCCACAAAATCAACCCAAACCTTCTGTGTGTGGTATGGAACCTTGTGGTACAATTTCATAGAGATCCATAGACTAATACTTAAGTAATTGTCCATTAACCAGAAAAACCTTGTTCCCCCCCCTTTTTTTTGCCCCAAATTCCTGAACGGTTTGGGCCATAACCCCCAAAGTCAATCCCAACTTTCCCATTGTGGTATGGAACCTTGTGGTACAATTTCATAGAGATCCATACACTTATACACAAGTTATTGTCCGGAAACTAGAAAAATGCCTTTTTTGGCCCCTTTTTGACCCGTAATTCCTAAACAGTTGGAACCATAACCCCCAAAATCAATCCCAACCTTCCTTTTGTGCTATTGAACCTTGTGATTAAATTTCATAGAGATCCATTCACTTATACTAAAGTTATTGTCCGTAAACCAAATGTCTTCAGAAGACAACGACGACGACATGATAGCAACATACGAACGCAAATTTTTTGCGGTCGTATAACAATCAGTTAAAAAAAACAGGACTCAAAACAGTCTTTTTTACAAACAGTGTTTTTGAATCCTTTGTACGATCAGAATATACATATCTGTAGTCAAACGATACCAAAATAAACTTATAATAATTAAAATACTAAAGTCGTTGTGGTCCTAAAAAAGCTATTGAAACATCCAGTTAAGTTATAGTTCCCTTCAGAACTTTTCTAAATTTTTATCCAGAAAAAGTACTTATTCCAATTTTCATGACTTTCTTATACTTACCTTGAAATTATTAACCACCTCTTCTTGAAATCTTATCCATACGTCTGAACTAATTTTCTCATATTCATACAAATCAGGGTTACCATAATACACCAATCCTATTACAATGAAATTTTTAAGAAGTAAAATTTAAACTTAGTATTTCCAAATATTATTTGTATATGTGCTTCATTTAAAGCTTTAGATGTGTTGGGATTTATTTCCAATCTATTCCTCTACTTGTTTAAAATTCAAATTTTATCCTACATATTTTCGTCAAAATGCTTTTTATAATATTTTCACATAAACGAAAATATGAATGAACAAATCTAATTATCATTTTTTTTTTATACAAAGTAAGAAAATTTGTGTCATATTTACACAGTACAGGAAGCAAAGGTTTATCAAAATTGAAGCATTATTCATTATTTTCAATTAAAAAAAATATGTATATGCCAAATTATCTTAATAAAAATAAACACCTTTCAATTTTTGAATTTTCTATGCTTTCTATGTATTGTGTGCGATTTTGTCCCATGTACATTTACTCCATATCCTTTCATTTTCTATTGAAGATCATATGTTGACCTGTAGCTGTCTTATCTATACTACTGTCTCCTTAAAGTATACCACATCTCCTTAAGCTGTTATTTATAGTATGCAAACAAACCTGTATAAAGACATCTCATAGCATCTAACACACTATCAGGAAGCTGAAATAAATTAAATCAAATAATTATACTTCACAAAGCTATGAACATAAAAAAAACAGCTAAGACGAAAAATCAGTTCCACCAAAACTGTTTTAAGGATGTATTCTTCTGATGTTTCAGTCTCATTGAAATCTCGTTCAGGAATTATTTCAAAAACATGTGATACAAGTAGGAAATATCAATGAATTCAATAAATATTATAATCAAACTAAACTCTGCGAAAAAATTGTTTACTTACAATAAATAGTTTTTGAGTTAAAAAAAATTCAAATTTTATAACCAATTCCCCCAGTGTCATCAGCCAAAATGTTGAGAAAATTTGTGAGGGGTACAAAGAAATGATTTTACCAAAAATATGTATATCCCATATCAATTTTTTTTTCTTCAAAATTCATAGATATGTATTTTTTCAATCATTTATAACAAAAAAGTTGACAAAACATGCTATTTTGTTCTAAAAAAAAAAAGAGAAAAAATCTAAAATTTACAAAATTGACAGCATGGTCGATTTGACACATTAAAGCAACAAAAGTTTAGGAATCTTTCTTATAATAACACCAATCTATAGTTTTTTTTAAGTTAAATTTGTTCAGATTGGTCCACTTTATCTTTAGTGAAAGTATGAAAAAAGTGTAATTGTAAAACTGATTTTTTTCATAATAGCCCCAAAATGGGTAAAAATTGATGAAAAATGGGAAAATCATTAAAAATGGGGTACTTTTAAATGGCCGTAGTAAAAAAAGAAGTGCACCACCATATGATTTTTTCTACATCAATTACTTTCTTACAGTCATATAAACCGAAACATCAGGTTTATACCACAAAGTTTCTCCAAGAAGGTATACTGTAAATTAACTACGTTGTGACATAGTTAAAGGCTCATTGGTTATCGTCTGAAGGTTACAACTGTTATACACTTGTAATTGACCTTAATGACCTGTACCAAGTTAAGTAATGTAGTCTGTAATTAAGTGGCTGGTGGTGCTATAACAGAGACAAAATGCCTGACTGAAAACGAATACATTTCAACAGAGAAAACTGACAAATATAAAAGAAATATAAAATTTATTACAAAAAATAAAATTATATAGTATTGCCCTTGGGAAATCATCTCAGCTAATTTTGAAAATATTTTTGCTAATTATGAAAATATTTTCCCGTCGAATTCCCTGAATCCTGAGCTGTTGTAAAGCGTAGTTTGCGCGAACTATTGATGCTTGCGAAACAGTGGTTGACAGGAAATTCGACGTGACCTGTCCTATCAACTGTAGTATAACTAATGAAATGTGAGTTGTAAGTTGATAGAACTTGGGGGATAAAAAATTGTCATTTAAAAGACTGACCAGTGATAAAAAATGCAATGAATAGCAAAGCAGAGGTATTGCTTCGTAGCTGAGATCTCCCCGTCACATGCGGAATGAAGGCTGGCTGTCAGGGGACAGGTTGGAGGGGATATTTTTTGTAAGACAAGAACTGCTAACGAAACTGATCGAAACAAGAAGACAGCGTTATCTATCAAAATAATTTCAATAATAATTATTTTAACGGCTATGGTCTGACCGCTATCTGACTGCTAAGCTATAAAATTCTCGACGAGACACAGAAACAAAAACAAACACCCGAAAGTCGTTATGGATCATTAAAAGAAGAACTTCTCAAACGAGCAATAAAATGCAGCTGTCGAAACAATTATAAACCAAATTATGTGCTATATATTCAAATAATTTAACATTAAGAAATTTTTTTTGGCTCCTCACTGGTGTACATCCTTAATAAACAGTTGTGCTAAAACTGAGCTCAAGATAGGCCTGTCCACAATAATTGTTAGACAATTTTCAAGCAAATATAATTTTATTCTGTCTATTTAGAGTAGGTCTGCTTGTAGGTCATGACATTCTTTGCTTAAAGCTTGCTATTTATGAATTCAGTAGGTTTTTTCAGGTCATACCTAAGTAATAGAACACAGCAAGTAAACATTTGCAATGTTAATTCTGATAAAAAAAAAGATGTGAAATTTGGTGTCCCCCAAGGATCTATACTAGGTCCTCTATTATTTGTCTTATTTATAAATGACCTTCCCCTTTGCATTAAAAATTGTAAAACAGACTTGTATGCTGATGATACTACTCTTCATAAATCCGGGAAAAGCATAGAAAATTTACATGATGATGTACAAGAAGATTTATGCAGAGTTGAAGAATGGTGCAAAATGAATAATATGTTCATCAATACTAAAAAAACAAAATGTTTGGTTACTGGAACAAGTCAGAAGTTATCAACTCAATCTTTTCAACCAAATTTACAAATAAATTCAGAAAAACTACAAAGTTCATCATGTGAAAAATTATTAGGTGTTAAAATTGACAGCACACTTAGCTGGACAAATCAAATTGATCAAACTTGTGCTAGCATTTCATCAAGAATATATATACCTTCTTTCTTAATTAAAGAAATTTCTAGATGTTAATGCCAGGAAAGCATATTATATATAATGGGTATATTCTGCCGCTCATCAATTACTGCTGTATTGTTTTGGGAGAATGTAAAAATGAAGGGATATTAAGAATATTAAAACTTCAAAAAAGAGCAGCAAGATAAATTCTTGATGCAGACCCTTTATCCCCATCAGCCCCCTTATTTAAAGAACTTGGATGGATGAAAGTAGAAAATAGAATCAAATACCACAAATATTTACTGCTATATAAATGTATGCGGAAAGAAGCACCACAGTACCTACTTCAAAAGTTTCAACTTATATCTGTTTATAATCCTTATGCTTTAAGGGGTGTTACTCAATGTAATTTGATAGTTCCTAAGCCAAAAACTGAACTGTTTAAAAAATCTTTTGCTTATTCTGGATCAGTTTTATGGAACGGACTACCATATGAAATGCGTAAAGTGCAAAACACTTTTTGTTTTAAAACAAATTATAAAACGATACTTGAGGTAGTACAAATATTCAGTCTTGAAATGATTGCAACTATTACTTTTTTAGAATGTATGATTTTGATTTGTATATAATATCTATTTACTACATGCACTCTGTAACTATTTTATATGTTCTAATGGTACATGTACACTGAACTATCATGACTATACGATTGTGAACTGACTATGTGTTAATATGTTGTATGTTTGCTTTTTTTCTCTTATTAATATTTGTTTACTTGTATTGTATATGAGGGCCTCAGGGAAGATTAGTAATTGTAACTAACTGTGTTTACCCTCTTTAAATAAAGAATTTATTATTATTATTATCATTATTACTTGAGTGGCATAGATGATAGAAAAATAATTTGCGTGTCTTCAATCTCTTAAGGATGTTCGCTCCTCTTGTTTTTGAATTTTTTGTCAGATATTCGGAATCCTCTGGTTTTATCCATGCAGTCCTAATAAATATTTTGCCCGCTAACCCCTACTTTTCTTTTCATAATTTTATTACATATAGTTTTAAAAGCTATATTTGAAAATCTTATAAAATCCTTGTTATTTTTTCATAGTTTTTGAAAGAAAAAAGGTGCCAACGTTTAATGTATGAAAAATCTAAAGAGAATGATTTCCGCCAAATTTTCAATGGCTTATATCTCAAAAACAAGCACACAGACCCTTTAATTTTTTCTGCTTTTTTAGTTCCTTTACTCATACAATTTCAATTTATAATAGTCTTTTAAAAAGCTTGTTATTTTGAAATTGGGTAGCGAACATCATTAATAGGCGTGTTCTGCTGAAACATTCTGCCAATATATGAGTAAGCATTTGACCTTCAAGCAAGAAATTGGTGACAAGGTGACTCAAATCTCAACAAACTGTTTAAGTGGAATGTAAAGTGAAACATCAGACATGTGTTTCTTAGAAAAAGACTAAAACACAGTACTGAACCAAATACATACTTGCATACAGATGGACAAAACTAAACCTAAAAGAAGACAAATATGTGTCCATAGGGCACCATGCCAAGCTCTAACTATCATGTGTCCTTTTCAGTGAATCATGAAATCTGGGTCAAAGTCACAATTTGGCATACAATTTTAAAGTTTACTTCACAAAGAACATGTGTACTTAGTGACCACAATTTCATGGTTTTATTGTTATTTAACTATCTTAACAAAAACCTTTAACCTGAGAATGCATCAATTTCAGACTATCTATGTTTAGTGAACCATAGAGTAATTTAAAAATTTCACATCATAATACCATATATCGGGTATTTTTCCCGTGTGTCACATTTTCGCTTTGTTCGTGGTAGCTAAAGAAACGCGAAAATTTGACCCCGCGTAAATTTCACTGCATATTCCTAGATTTATCATTGTTTGAAAGTTTTGTATATTATACTGTTGATTGTCGAGTCTTTAGTGTTGTTTGATAAATCACAAGAAAGTGTATGCTTAATTAATATCTCTGTTTATATAATAATTAAAATGATTAATCAAACATGGCACACCTTTTGACAACACAGCAATCAGTGACAGGTTAAAAGATGTTAATTAGCGACGATCTATTAATTGGTGTCATAACACGAACATTTTGCATTTGATGTAAAATAAAAAATAAAAATAAATCACATTTACATGGATATTTGTCTATCTGTGATGATCAAAACCTTCAATTTTTAGCATGCCCCAATGTCTGTACATATTTTATGTTCCTTGAAAGTTCACTGAATTATGTGTATTTTCGTTTGTAGTACTCATATTTATTTACAATTGATTACCTGTCAGTCAATCAAGTTTACGTTGTTTACATTTTTAACAATGCGATAGTTATTTTTCGCGTGTATTTTCCCATTCAGCGAAAATTATACACAGTGAAAATTTAACCTGCCCATTTTGTCATCAAATCGTGAAAAAAAGCTGATATAATGTAACCATCTGAAATGTGTATGGTTGACATGGTTGATGTGACCACAATTTAAAAGTAAACTAGCTTAACAAAAAAAATCAACTTGATCATTAATAGCAGAATTATACACAAGAATACACATACTACAATGAGTGGTTGAACATCTTACGAATACAGTTAATAACAAAATATACTGTGAGTAACATAATGGACAATGAATGAAAAAATAAATATTACATACCTTCATGAGAAGGAGGGAACACATTTTGTACTGTTTCCCAATTTTTTTGCTATGATCATCCAACATGGCTTTACTTTGATCAACCCTCTGGCTTGTTCTCATTAGGTTAAATTCTTGATCTAACCTGGTTAAAATATGAGCAATATTAGTTTTAGCCTCATGTTGATTTCTGTTTTTAAGCTGCAGATCTGCTAATTCAAGCAATGCCTCATTGCTGACTTCCTCTTGAACATTGTTACTAAACACAACAATCTCAGAAGGTTGCCCATCAGTCACATGATTATTAAAATCTAATTGTTTGACTGATTTTTTGCTTTTAACAGGTACTGTTGCTGATTTTGATTTAGTATCTTTTTGGAGAGAAGGCAAACATAATGGTGTAGCTTTAACAACAGGTTTGCTAGGAAGCTGTAAACAAACTGTTTGTTTACTGATAGCAGTGGCTGATGATATCGTATCTAAGTTGGGTTTTATATTTTCACATGTTTGTGATTTTGTTTTAAAACCCTGTCCACTCTCTGAATGATTTTGTTCCATGTTCTCTAAAAGTACTGATGAATGGTCGCGAATATAGGCAGTAGCACCTTCCAAATTGTTGTCTTGCATTGAAACATCATGTGATTTATTGCTGTCTGAACTCATAGAGATTTTATTGTACTCTTCCTTTTTACCACTTGCTATGAACTCATTGTCGCAGCAGACATTTTCACTCTCTCCCTTGACTTCAGAAGAGGTTCTTATGTATTGTTCGTCAGCTGCAGTGATTTTAGAGGCACCTGTCTTTTGGGTATAGCTAAAAGATACATTATTTCCCATGTTATACTCTTTTGGCTAAATTCATGCAGGCAAGATGTCAGATTCAAAGAGTCACATATACAAGCAAGACAAAAATGGATTTTACTGTTTACAAACACCATATTTGCTCAGTCTAGAATCTAGGCCACCTTATCTTCTGTTTCCATTTGTTAGTCTGGCTTGTTCTTTAGACTCTTTAATCAATTAATCTGAAAAAATACAAAAACATGTATAACAAGCATTCTGTGAGTATTGCATGGCAATACATAGTCCTCTACCAGCAACATCAAAAATGAAAATACAAGCTCCTAAAGTAAATGTCTTGCTTAAATTATATAAAAATTACAGCAATTGTAAGCACTGTTCAATATTTTGTGACCTTTCAGATGATTTAAGGTTGTCTTTGTTGTTAGGTTGATGTCTCATTGGCAAATACCTCAAATCTGTAATGTGACAAAAGTTTGATATTAAGCAAACATGAGACTGATGTACTTCAGGAAAATTTTAAAACTCTGACAATTGGAAACCAAAGTTACACATATATTGCAGCCAAAATTATGCAACTGTTCACTAATCTATCAACAACTGGTTTAACAAGCATTCTGAGAGTATTGCACAGCAATACATAATCCCCTACCGGTTAATAATTCATTGTACTGGAACAAAATGCTAACTTGATTTATAACTTGTCATGGTGTAAAAATACATAACAAATATAAAGTCAATATCTTCAAACATGACAAAAAAGTGTTGAAAACTGATTATTTGAGTGAATTTTCTAAGTCCATGGACCATAACTCTGCACAAAATCATCAGACCAGAACAAAATTAACTTGATCTGTAACTTGTAATGATAAACCTATACACAAATTATCAAATCAATATCTTCATGCATGACGAAAAAAAGTGCGGAAAACTGATTATTTGAGTGAATTTTCTAAGTCCAAAGACCATAACTCTGCACAAAATCATAAGACCGCAACAATATTTGATCTTGATCTGTAACTTGTCATGATAAAACTATATACCAATTATTAAATCAAAACCTTCAAGAATGACAAAACAAAGTGTGGAAAACTGATTGAGTGCATTTTCTAAGTCCAAGGACCATAACTCTGCACAAAATCATCAGATCGGAACAAAATTGGAACTTGATCTGTAACTTGTCATGATAAAACTATATACGAAATATCAAATCAATATCTTCAAGCACGAAGAAAAAAAAAGTGGAAAACTGATTTGCCGGACAGACAGACAGACAGACAGAGTTTAGAGTGCAAACCTAAAGTCCCCTTCGACTTCGTCGGTAGGAGACTAATAAGGAATTACATGTATTTCCAACTAGATAAAAATTTGAAATCTAGAATATGGCAAGTCCATCAATTCTAGATGTGTTTGATTAAATCAGTTTGTTTTCTGTAATAGTGTTTCATGGATTGTAGTTTGTCAGTGTTCATTTTATTACTTTTAGCCATGGTATGTCAGATCTTATTCAACTTATGGTTTTTACCCCCCACCCCCCTCCTCTCCTTTGGTATCTTCTACTCAATCTTTACATCTCAAAACATCTTCCTTTTTCATTTTGTCCATGTCTATGAATAAATATAAAATATAAGATGCTGACTAACTGAGGGTGATTTATAGAAGTCATATTGCATGATGAATATGTAGTATTTTGATGTCCAGAAATGCAGGCGTGCTTTCTGTTAACTAGTTATAACCTTTAAAATGGGTATGTTATTGGTCTCATGTCATTAAAGAGCTGACAAATAATGGGTACCAGACTTTTTGCTGAGAATAAAAAATAAAAGAACAGAGCCAGGACAGCCACAACACATTTTTAATCTGTCCAAGAGCAATATCTCCATTATTCTATTTATATTTTTAGCTCCCTTTTCCAAATGAAATGTGAGCTTTTGCCATCACTTTGCATCCATCGTCGTCATCCGTCCAGTGTAAACTCTTTCAAACATCTTCTCCTCTGAAATTACTAACCAATTCCAACCAAACTTAAGCTGAATGATCCTTAGGGTATCTAGAAATAAAGTTTGTGTTTTATTTTCTGTTTCGTCAAAAAACATGTCTGCTATGGCTAAAAATAGAACACAGGGGTAAAATGCAGTTTTTGGCTTATATCTCATAAACTAAAGCATTTAGAGCAAATCTGACATGGGGTAAAAATGTTCATTAAGTCAATTTCTATCAGCCCTGAAATTTTCAGATGAATCCAACAACCCATTCATTTAATTGCATTTTTAAGCTGCTCATTAATATATATTGAAAAGCAAAAATAATCATTGATGAAATTTTTAAGCAAAAAATTACAGGTGAGCGATTCAGGCTCTTGAGAGCCTCTTGTTTATTTATGTATTGCTGTTATTGGGGGAGGGTCTCTTGGGAGGTCTGTGCTTTTCATTTACGTCATAGCTCTTAATGGACCTTAGAATATGATAAAACGCCTTACATGTGTAAGATACACCACTATAAAGTACCTTTATAAATTACTTCCTTTACTGTAATGTACAAGATATATAGGCATTAGAGCACTTACAATTTTCCATATATTCTTAAAAAAGAGGGGCGAAAGATACCAAAGGGACATTCAAACTCATAAGTCGAAAACAAATTGACAACACTATGGCTAAAAAAGAAAAAGACAAACAGACAAACAAAAGTACCGGTACACAAAACACAACATAGAAAACTAAAGACTGAGCAACACGAACCCCACCAAAAACTGGGGGTGGTCTCAGGTGCTCCGGAAGGGTAAGCAGATCCTGCTCCACATGTGACACCCGTCGTGTTGCTCATGTTAGTACAAACCCGGTAATAAGTCTAAATTGGTATGTCACATTCGGGAAAAGGGGACATGATTGTAATTATGACATTAGGAACATGTCCACTATCATCTGTGAAACGGATATTCCGTAACGGTTAACCAACTCGTAATGGCGTCCGTAAAATTTACTAAGGGATGATTTCAACTTCACCACTTGGAACTCTTGGTTTAATAGCTTCCTTGTGAGCAGCAACCCTCTATCAAGGAAATCATGATAGGAAATACAAACCCTGGAGTATCATATCAACTGGGAGATATATACTCCGTATGCAGGCACTGCTAGAATGTTGCTACATAAAAATGGAAAGTTCACAAATGGGAAGCTGAAATCATCTCTTTTGTCATAAAGTTTTGTTTTCAACCAACCCTCATTGTCAATTTCTAGATGTAAGTCAAGATATGAGGCAGACTTAACTGTATCTGTTGTATCCTTTATCTCAAGTTCAATGGGATAGATGCGTTCAACATAGTCACCAAAAATATCAGTTCAAAACACAAAATATTGCAAAAGCTAAAGGTTGAAATTGTACTGGAAGAGTTGCGATCACGAACTTTGTAAACAAATAAATCTTTAATGCCATGCACTTTGCATGTTTAATGACTCTTTAGTGCAACAATTCTTTGAAGGTCCAGCAAGGTGACATAAACTTAGAACTTAATAAAATGCTCCGCTGGGGCGCAGCTTGATACGACCGCAGAGGTCGAACCCTGAACAGTTGGGCCAAGTATGGACACAACATTCAAGCTTGATACAGCACTGAATTTGGTTTGTAATTAAATATTTGACACAGCATAGGTTTCTGACACAGAATGAAAGTGGTCTAAGAACTTAAAAATTTTTAATTTACCTATTCAAACCATATCATTATTATTTGCTTTTATATATAAATCAGAAATAACCAATTAAAAATGGAAAATTTTAAAGAAAAAAAAGGAAAAAAAAATCCCCCCCCCAAATTTTTTGAACCCCCTTATGATTCATCACCCCCAAACTCAATCCCAGCTTTCCCTTTGGGGTATGGTACCTTGCAGTACAATTTCAGAGAGATCCATACACTTGAACACAAGTTATTGTCTGGAAACTAGAAAAATGCTTGTTTTGTGGCCCCTTTTAGGCCCCAAATTCCTAAACGTTTAGGGCAATTACCCCCAAACTCAAACCCAGCTTTCCCTTTGTGATATGGAACCTTGCAGTACAATTTCATAAAGATCCATACACTTACACACAAGTTATTGTCCTGAAACTAGAAAAATGCTTGTATTTTTGCCCTTTTATGGCCCCTTAAATTACTAAAATTTTGAGGGAATTACCCCCAAAATCAATCCCAGCCTTCCCTTTGTGGTATGGTACCTTGCAGTACAATTTCAGAGAGATCCATACACTTGAACACAAGTTATTGTCTGGAAACTAGAAAAATGCTTATTTTTGGCCCCTTTTTGCCCCCTTATTCCTAAACTTTTTGGGCAATTACACCCAAACTCAATTCCAGCTTTCCCTTTGTGATATGGAACCTTGTAGTACAATTTCATAAAGATCCATACACTTACACACAAGTTATTGTCATGAAACTAGAAAAATGCTTGTTTTTTGCCCCTTTTTGGCCCATAATTCCTAAAATTTGGAGGCAATTACCCCCAAAATCAATCCCAGCATTCCCTTTGTGATATAGAACCTTGTGATACAATGTCAGAGAGATCCATACACTAACACACAAGTTATTGTCATGAAACTAGAAAAATGCTTGTTTTTTGCCCCTTTTTGGCCCCTAATTCCTAAAATTTATAGGCAATTACCCCCAAAATCAATCCCAGCATTCCCTTTGTAATATGGAACCTTGTGGTACAATGTCAGAGAGATCCATACACTTACACACAAGTTATGTCTGGAAGTTACAAAAATGCTTATTTTTGGCCCCTAATTCCTTAACTGTTGGTACCATAACCCCAAAATCAATCCCCACCTTCCTTTTGTGGTATTGAACCTTATGGTAAAATTTCATTGAGATCCATTCACTTAAACTAAAGTTAGAGTGCGAAAACTAATGTGTCTTTGGACGACGACGACGTCGACGACGCCAACGTCATACCAATATACGACCACAAAATTTTTTTGCGATCGTATAAAAATATAAAGTTTTTAAAAGTTCTAAGTTTATGTCAAACATATGTGTTTTGAACTGATATTTTTACATGTAATCTAACTGATAAATGTAACAATATCTGACTAAAAAAATTCGTAAGGGTTCCGCTGAACCCAGTGTCTTGCCTACTTTTGCTGTTAATCGCAGGCTCAACAAAATAAGGAAAAAAATTAATAAAGATATTCCTCTCTATACTATCTTTTGATTGTAAGTAGCTTCTGTCCAAGTT